ATTTATTTTACTTACTCTRTGGGCCAAACTCCTACTGGCTGCTATTTAAATCACTACTTTAACGACACTTAACGAGTAACATTTGACATTTATTTTATTTACATTTGGTCATAGTTTTTGTTTACATGTCACTCTATAACGGGCAGGTATTTGCTTTCCTTTTGCAACGCCCCCAATTTTCCGTATTTATTGCAAGTCAATCTTCAATTTTATCAAAATTGTAAGCAACCTGGGAAAACGGAGCAACCACGGCGAGAGCGGCAACACTGGTAAGCAGGACACACCCAGGACGGGAGTGCCAACACCGGGGCTACTTCCGTTTATTAAAATTATTGAATTTTGCATCGTTCGAACCTAACAAAATATTAACAATGTGATAGGCCTAGCTGTTTCTAATGTTGCTTGCATACTAGATTTGAAAAAAAACTAGACATTTATGCTTCTAATCTATTTCCTCTCTGGATTATGCATTTGAAACAAGTTCTTATATAATTTCAAAGATACAAGGTTTTACTAATCACTACCGTAGACAATTTAAATAAAAAATAATAAATATGGCAGCCCTCACAAGTCGCGCATTCGACGACAGATGCTAATGATTCTAGAGACTATTGCAAACCAGTACCTATATAAATGTAACTGTTAAAATGTTTCACGTGCAAATCGATACAGTTGAAAACTAGAATTTATCGCTGGAAGTAACTTGTTCAAATCGAATGTGTACATATTCAGACACTGAACATTTCTTATAAGGGTTTTATTGATGGTCTCAGAATGATATTCATTTTTGAGTATACTAGCGGTCCCTTTTTCCCATTTCGAATCTTTGGCTAACTTCCTGGTTCTAGCTGAGTCCTGGCTCGTCGACACCCATTGCCGAAACAACCCGAAATATCTACGTCTATAATTCGGCATTCGCTTCTGGCTAGTGATTTCGTTTCCGTTTGCTTTTCTAGAGAGGGAGGAATGTTTCTGGTTAGTTCTACGACGGCTCAAGAATAACTTTGGTACCCGATCCCCACGGTTCGAAGTGGGCTTTTTTTTGGCAATCACGTCGATTGAGTTGGACTTTTGGGTAGCTGGTAGAACGAAGTCGACACCACTATCTGTGTCATATACTGAAATATTAAACACGAAAACAACTTTACCAAATCCAGTTAGCGTTCTGCAGAAACGTCATACTAGTCTTGTGGAGTTCCTCAATCAGGTCTTCAATTACAGGTCCAGAATAAATATCAGAAGAGAGCAGTTTTGGCAGCGCTTTTGAAGCAACAGCATCACTGAGCACTTCAGCTTTAATCAGTTCCGGATTTCTTTTAAGCCTTGATGTTTGACAAATTATTTTGTCGCGATGCTCCTAAAACACCCGGTTTGTCCGTAAGTCCGATCGTGCCCATCCACATAATTAATCACACCTTGCCCTCCGATTTTGCAATCCTCATTCTGCTTCTAAAGACTTTTCGACCTCTCACTGATAGGTTCATTCCCAAATATGGAGGAGTCCTAGGATAGTTCTGTTTGTAGATTAGCTCAAACAGTCCGGTGTCCGCGTTCGGATCTTTCCTTTTGTCCACGACCACTAAAGGCAAAAATATGGATACCTATGAAATGGTGAGATACCATACTGGTATACCTTTCACGATGTCTTCCATACATTGCGGACACATCCTGCTGGTTACCGATGTGGAAAATGACAAATCAGGACTGCAATTGACTTCCAACAACCAAGGTGTGAAATCTTCGGTCAGCATAAAATCAGCCCCATAAATTTCGTAAGTGTTAGGCCTGCGGTCCATGGTGTCTTGGCTAGCCAGCATAGCACATACAATGTTTTGCTTCATTCCTGGGACGATCACCTAAATTTCAGTGTAAATGAGTTGATAAATTTCTACTCTCAGAAAACAGTTAAAATGGAATAATCAAATTACCTGGCTCCATTTATCCAAACAGCCTAATTGCTTTAAGTAAGCTTTGAAGGAATGGCAGTCCCACATGTTATCGTCCGGAAGGGCTTTGTCCCGCTGCTGTCCGTTGGCGTATTTACACTGGACCGCATGGTTGGTGAGGTGTAGTGATTCGTGGAAATCGTGTAGGCTGAAGTTCTGGCCGCTGAATCGCAAATAGCTATCGCTAAGCGTGGAGATACTTAAGTGATTGTTGTATTGAACTAATCGTAGGATAGTACAAACCGGAACATCCATATGGTTAAGGGTTGAACATTTGTCACCATAAACCATTGTCTAATATCAAATTTGGTTTTGTAAATGATCAACGGTTTTTCTGTAACAAAACTACTATTCTTCTAAGTTTACTAATACAACCAGATGATAGACTGCCCGTCCTTGTCAGCGACTTACCAATATACTTTTGCACGACATATTTCACCTTTAACCCCATCATCTTATCCACTTCGGCGATGCTCTTCACCAACTGTATTCCTCTGCCACGGCACTTGTTCCCTGGTTTCATGATCCAGATGTTACGCATGCCATCTAACTCGAACTGCGGCCAATGCTTGGCCATCTCCTTAAGTCTGATTTTCGCTTGGGCATAGCAGTTTAAAAGTTTGTCCTGCTAAAAGTTGCCAGTCATTTGCAGATTCAAGCGATCCACTTGTAGTTTAAATATACTTTAAAATCCATGAAGTGCTCGTTATTGTGCACCACCGAATAGAAATAGTCTAGAAACTGTTCCCACTCGTGATCCCAGACCCTGTTGAACTCCTTGTCTATGTCTTGATGGCGCTGTCCAGCTATGTATTCCGCGCATCTCAGAAAACCAATTAAAGTTAAACAAAACCTGAGTTAGAAATATTATGGCATCAAGCAGTAGATATTTCTTTTACAGAAATACGTGGCCAATGTTTGCAAAAATCTGCATTTGAAAGGGTTTAGTTTGTAATAACGTAATATAATTAAATACATACCTGTCCATGGCAAAGTTAAAAGCCGAGTGCGGAACCGTTCCATCTATGGAATGGACTTCCTTCTTTGATTCGTAGCGTTCGGTGAACCACTTGAGAATGCCCATGCATGCGGTCATGCGAAAATCGTCCAAAAAAATATTGTAGTGGTCGGGGAAGCCCAACACGTAACACCGAGGAAAGTTGATCTACAAACAACGTTCGAAAGGGCTCATATTTGCCATATGTTCACCCAAAGGCGTACATTAGCAATATTTTCTTCCAAATACCAGTAAGATTGTTGTAACAATAATGCCAAGCCCTCTTTGGAAGCAAATAACGATCGGCTGAACCGATTGATCAGTTTGTACGCATTGCCTCGATGCTGCAAATCTGATGGCTCTTTTCGCATGGACCAGTATAAGTCACAATCGTGCGCTGACAGCATCCGTGACATCACTGAAAAATACTGGGCCACTTAAATAGCAACTAATACGACCATTGGAACGAGCTACCTGTTCTTTCGCATTTTTCCACATAAGTTGTTGGTGATTCCCAGTCTTGTCTTGCAGGCAAGTTGCTGATTACATCTTCAGCATTGCTAAAGCGCTGTTTGTTGCCATGTTCGGATTTTTCTATCCAGTTGCGTTTAAGGAGTTCTTTGCGTATCACAGGCCATCCTCCTAGAAACAGGGCAATTGTGATCGCTTACTTATGAATCGAATTTGTATGTATGTGACCACAATACGAGTTTTTCCACTTTTTCAGGCCCATTTTCACCAGAAAGAAGCGAGACGCAGTTTGACGAAACTAAGTTTATGTTAAACGCCGAAATTATCGCGTTTAACGACGGACATTTAAGAAACTGGAAACACTGGCCTCGTTACAAAAGTGAAAAATAGTACGACTCTCATCGCAAAATCATCTTATCAAGCACAGAACATCCCCCCTTCAGGGGGGATATTTTATGCTATAAACGCCCCAGATCGGCCAGTTCGTTTCTTTAAACGCGTTTAAGCACAAACTAAATTTAAGGTTCTGGTGAAATTCGTTTCGCGCGTCAAACTGAGTTTCAGACGTTAAATTGGTTTAAGATCGCTTGATGAAAATGGGAAAAAAAAAATAACAATTATCTAAAGCCATGATACAATGAATACAAGGTAGGATTTTGCGTCGATTTGCGTGACGTCAGTGGAAATCACTGCCGAGCGTGCTTTTTTCCTGTCTGCTAAATGTGATTAAATATAGCTTATTTACTCTTTGTCACATTTAATTATTTTTTTATAAATCTTCCTTATAATTACAAGATGCTTTGCAGCAGATTTTAGACTTGAAAATTAAAGTAAATTTTGTAGACTAGCACAGTTGCCAGTTGCGCAATAAAGTATAGAGTTAGCTGAAAATGTATCCTTGCAGAAATAGTACATTACGATTCAAGAGACGGAAGTCCAAACAATGACCCAATGTTACTTTCTATTATTTACGACGGAATATGCGGTTTGTGGTGCCGCGGATGATATGTAAATTTTAATACAAATGAAATGACTGCAGACCGCATTACTGTACATTTTCCAACTACCAAACGCAAAATGCTCAGTTTTGTCTACAAAATTCCCAAACATGCCCAAACGCATTGACCCCATGATCAGGGGCGGATCCAGCTTTAAAGTCAGGGGGGGGGTATGTAGAAAAAATACAGTCTTCTGTTATCTATGAAATTAGAAAAATAATCGTCGTTTTGTGCAAGGGTGGCGCAAGATTATTGCAAAATT